CTTCCCATCGTGGTAACTGAGCTAACTGAATACAAGTGTCGAAGTGTTTGTGTGTGTTTGTGTGTGTGTGTGTGGGGGGGGGAGTGTTATGTGTTTATTTCCTTTTGTTTCTTCACGCGTCATACATTACCGTCGGACCGTGGACATTTTTCAGCCGGATGTTGCAGGTCTTTGGCGCGTCAACCATGTGCAATGCGTGCCAGACCGGCGAATATCAAAATGAGACGGGCCAGAATTCCTGTCACAGATGTGGCTTCGGAGCGTATCAGGATGTGATAGGCCAGAGCAGTTGCAAGTTGTGCCCAGCAGGCACAACAACTACTGGGCGCCTTGGAGTAAGGCAATCGGTGTACACCACCTGTTTCGTGTTTCTGATGTCTTCGGACAATGGTCATCCATTGGACCATGCCATCCACTTCCAGTCTTTTCTTTCGGGGAGTGTGCGCATGCTTTGTTTGTGTCTAGAAGTCTAGAAGGTGCCCAATCCCAGCTTGGATGATCCGTTGACACTTGAGAAGCCCATGGTCCCATGGTGTTGCCGGCTCGGGCCGGGGGAGCCTCCACATTCCCAAACAGGGAGGAACTCGGAGATCACAGGGGTTCCCTAAGCACTTGCTTTCACCTGCAGTTCCATGCATTTGTTATGGAATTGCCGGACCAGCTGCATGAGTTCCGTTCCGGTGATGTGTGCTAGGCTTGGGTCACTGTTCATCACCGACTGCGGATGCATTGAGAAGACGATCAATGTGGCAAAATCCCAGGGCAGTGGACTCAGCTTTATGGGGAGATCATGGGCACCTCTTTGTGGATGCTCTTTGGGGAAGTAAGCCTTTTTTGTGGGGGGTACCAGTGGCTAAACTATGGCTATAAAACATTGCTAAACTATGTATATATATTATATATATAATCCGGTCCACCTATTAAAAAAAGCCCACCCTAATAAGGAAACCTCGGTCGCCTTTTTTTAATTTAGGGCTCCTGAAATCGGGGTGGTCCAAAAATAGGGTCACCTGGGAAGGGCTTCAAAACCAAAAAGTCACCCAACTCAGGAAACTTTTATATAATTATAGGACCGGATAACCCCACATGTGAACAACTTCGAAAGATTGAGGCTGCAGGGGTAAAGTGCTGAAGAGTGAGCATGGGGAAGAGACAGGCGAAATAAATAAGGCGTGAGGGTCTCTGTGTGTACGTGAGGTGTGTGTGTGTGTGTGTCCCACCCTGGACAAAGGGTCTTACCCCACCCCACCACTTTTCCGCAGGCAGGGGAGCTTTTCATGGTAGTGATGGGCAGTGAATCTCATTCCACCCACTGCCCAACGAAGACGGTGGTTTGAGATTGTGAAATGACTCCGGGACGCTGGAGTCACGTACCTGCCAAATGAACTTTTGAGCAAGCTGTCCAATTTGATTGATTTGTTTCCATGGTCCTTCACGTTTCCTCCTCCAAACCTCGCGGGTTTTTTTGCAGCCTAGTTATGCAGCCGACTCGCAGCGCGCCACTCGTCTCAGCAGACTTGACCAACACCTTGTTAAAACACCTACAAGTCTTTCGGACTCTTCACCATGCCGTTCCATCGCCTTCCTTCCCATTGAGACAATTGCGTTAACTGAAAACCAAAAGTTCGAAGTGTGTCCTGCTCAGCCGTCCCACTCGGGTGCTGAGTGTGATCCCCGTCACAGGGGCGCCGTTCTTGCATGGGAAAGCAACCACCCCAACGCACCACCGCTCACTGGAACTTCACAGGAAGGCACCGACACCCTCACAGAATCAACCGCCACACCGGCCGCCGGGCCAAAAAACGGTTCTTGAAAAATCCCTCAGATTCAGAACTTCTGATTTCAGATTTCGGCATTCAGTTTTCTTTTCATGGTTTCCAGTCATGTGCGTGTTTCTGTGTTCGTTATGTTGCTGCCGCGACTCTTTCATCGACAGCACTCAAGGAAGGGCATTACAACTCTTCAGCTTAATTCGAGATGCATGAACACACACCTACCAACAAGCTTACATTTAGCACCACCTTACAACATACTCACCACCGACACCAGAGATGACACCTTCAACAACAACAAAACAATACAACTCGGCAATTCTCCGCTGCTTTTTGCTGCCGCGCCGCGCCGAGCCATAGCTACGACCACGACATGCATTTTCCGTGGCCCTACGCTCACACCACGCCACCACCACTACCTACCACACAACCTCAACCCACATGGCCGATGCCACAACCATCAACTGCACCCACCTTTCCCTCGACACAACCATCGGCATACCCTCACCCCCAACCACAACCATTCCAACCACCACCGTTTTTATCCACCCCTACCGCCACTGCACTGACCTACGGCACACCATCCACTTGGACTTTTGTCCCCCCATGTCACGTGCCACCGCAACCCACACATCCAGCTCCAGTGTTTCCGACAGCAGCACCTCCCCCGTCCTACCTGCTGCCACCACCTCATCCCACACCACCAGCTGAACTTCTTCCCCCCCACTACACTGACACATCCCCCTCCAACACAGCAACAAACTGCGATTGCCAATTATCCATCCACAGATCCCCAATGCGCCATCCCCCAGGGCGTTTGGCAACCCTATTCAGCTTTTCCCCCCGTCACACAGCCTCCACTCCAACCGGGGCCCCCGCCACCGCCTCCACAAATCATCAACGCCTCAACGCCAATCCAACCTCCACTTCAACAGCAGCTACCATCGGATCCAACACCACCGATCCAACCCATCCCCACGACTGCCCAGGACAATCCACTACCAGTCCAAAACACACCTCCACCAGCTACCGTATCCCAACATTCAGCATCCCCATCGCTGGTATCTGCCACACCAGCACCTGGAACTTCACTACCAGCACCAGACAAACCTGACACCACTGCCTCACCAGCACCACAACCACCTGCAGTGTGGTTAGAGCATGTTTTTAAAGTTTTTTGGGAAAATTTG